CCCCAAAACCCCAAAACCCCAAAACCCCACAGATCTCAATTTATAGTTATATTAAAACTAAGGTGAATGAATTTAATAAAAAGTATTCAAATTCAATAAAAGTATATTGATGGCAATTTAAAAATAATTCACATATGTTGATGGTGTTACATTTACAATTCACGAAGCTTCTGCTCCTATTGTTTCTTGATGTTTTCTTATTCTTGTTTGATCAGTTGAAGGAATTCTTAAGCCATGTTTGCATTTGTATTTGCTATCTACTATGCCCCTGTAAGAGGGTTTTAATTTATAGCAGATTCAGGTCTTTTCGATGATTCATAAATTATTATTTCATTCATGTCTATATCTTGGATAAGCTTTAAAGGTCGAGGGATCTAAGTTTATTGAGGTTCGCTATATTAATTTTAGTCAATTAGTCCTTCTTCTCTCTTCCATTCATTGATTTTTTCTAAAATCGAATAGCTCTCAATAGTACTTATTATATCATAGTTCTGTTTTATATTTTCAAGATCATATTGCTGACTCTTTTTATTTTGCTTTTTTTTGGCTTTCGTTGCTAAACCTAAAAATTTTTCACATTGGCCACTCAGTAATTGAACTTGCTATCTTAATTTTTTGATTTCCTCTTCTTGAATCTAAGTTTTGGTCCTTAAAGTGTACACTTCCTCATTACTTTGATATGTTTCCTCTGAAATTTTCATTAGATTTATATCTTTGTTCATTTCATTATTGGGAGATACTCTCTAATTTTATCTAGATTCAACTGATTTGTCTTTTTGGACATTTTGATTTTTATTTGAATCGCAATCAATAGAAGTATTAGTAAGATTATTATCAGTATTATGGCAAGATATTTTTAAATCGAACGAAGTTTGAATACCAATATCTTCTGCTTCATAGAACTCAAATTGATCACTTACAAGATCCTTGACATTTTTCAGTACTGATTTTTTCTTTATAGATTAAGCGATACTAACCTTTTAAGTTGAACAGGTGCTTTCTATTTTTTGATTTTTACTTCTTGACCTTATTCTTTTCTTGTTATGCTGAATAAAGTTACGAACTTTTCTTGAGTCTTAATTTACTGGTTTATGACCATCAAACTCTCTTGTTTGCACCTCATCATTAAACTCTATTCTTTTTTCTTATCCCATTATATCATTGTAGATTTTATGCTGGAGTTACCTTAATTCTGTCTCTTTTTCGGAGCAAATATCTCTCCATTCTTCTATTTCAAGTTTCAAGTCATCTATGGCTTCCTTTGCTTAGAACACTAATTACTTCAATCTTTCACAACCTTCACATTCATCTTCTGAAAGATGCTAATGATTCTAAGTCGGAGAGTCATTATGCCCATTTCTGTTTTCATCAAGCTATGAAGAATTGATTTAGCTTCCTGAAAAATCATTATAATTGTTAACTTGATACTCAAGACCTTCCTCCATATCATCATCCTAAGAGTTATCAAGTTTTTTGTTAGAATTGTCTTGATACTTTGAATTAGAACTTGAACTCCTCATTTTCTTCTAAGGTGAGTAATTATATTGCAAACCTTATTTCATATTATGAATAGGTCTAATCTTGACGTCTACTATTGAACTAGTACTTTGATGATTATTGTTTGAAAAAGTATTTTAATTTGAGACTATTTGCTACATACTAGTGTTTGGACCTTACTTTGTCAACGAACTTCGCTTCTTCCCTTTCTTTTCAGAAAGTATTAAACTATCCTCTGTATCTGATAAATGCTTTTTAGTTTTATCGAAACTCTGAATGAAGCTTCTATCTTTGAATTTCTTCTTTAGCTCATGATTCTTACTCTAGGTCATTTTTAAATCATTTTCAAGGTGTTCAATATATTCTTATAGCTCTTTAATCTTTTTCTCAGCCTCTGGTTAAGGTCCAGCATTTGAGTCAGTTATATTTTGAATGTCTTCCGAAGGTTCACATTTCAATTAAAGACAGTAGTTTTAAACACCATTGTTTATATTATGCCCTCTATCTGTGTAAAATGCTTATGGCTTTCCTAGATTGGTTTTAATATGTATTCCATTTGCCTGACTATTAACAGACATTTTTGGAGATTAGAGATCAAATATTTTATGTTCAGTGGGACTCAAATCAAATTACAAGTTATTTTAGTTTGAAATATGAGAACCACTATTGTCACTTCTTCTCTGTAGGCCTATTCCACAACCACTTATATCAATATATTTTTTGGGGTTATTTGAATTTTACATTTAGACATTTGACGTATAGTACTTAAATTCATCATAAACAACTGTGGCTTTTTATCCTGAGTTATTGCAATGATTCTTCAAAGAAGTTGGATGATTAGCTTAAGCCCCTCTTGCCTCACTGTTCTAGTAATTAAACACATAAGCTTTGTTTGGGAAACTCGATTATTTATTGTACCCATTTAATTAATCTGGTCTCGTGGTTGGAGAAATAGGTGTGGGCAGATTCTTTTGCGGTGTAAGATTTGAATAAGATGCAATATTCCTATTTTTTGCGTTAGAGAGAGTAACTTACCCAGACATAATGAATTCGGAATCATTATTATCAGATTTGAGAGCTTTCTGCTAGGGTTAGCTTTAGTAGTCCCTGAGAGAATTTTAAGTAGTTTACTTGTTCTCGCTTGTATGAAAAGGGTTTTTAATATTTAAATTCTTGTTTATTGAGCCTGGTATTAAGGAATATAATGGCTTCTTGGTATTGTTTTTGCTCAAAGTAGACCCAGGCATGTTAAAATTTTTCTAATTAGGTGTGATCACACTGTGGTCGCTGCTTGTTTTAGAAATGTTTCTTTTATGACTCTTATTACTTTTTCTCAATTCTGAATCTTTGTTATTTTCAGAAGAATGTAATCCATGCAGCCTCAAACTATTTTGAGAATCTTATAAAGGATTCATATTATGAAGATTATTAATTCCTTAGTGTCCATTAAAATCACTAGGCTTGCCTTGAATAAAGGCTAAGGGAGAGGCAATCAATAAGTTTTCTTTGTATTCATAATCAGAGCATTCAACCATTGACATCAAATCTCGCTGATTTTAGTCTAAATTAGACTGATCTGGATCTCCAAAGTAGCTAGGTTGTTCCTTAAACACATCAGATTGATAATCACAGCAGCTACTATTGAAATCTGTATCATCTTGACTTGCTAATTAATTATTAGCTCTTCTGGCATGATCATATGTTGCGGAAGGAATGAGAGATTTTTACTGTGTAGCCATTAAACAATCAAATATTTTAATTCGTAATTAACAGACACTGCTAATTGATCACTGTTTTATTCTTCAATCCTATATTAATTTTAAACTAACTATTTGAATATAAATTAAAATTCATGGAAGATAACTACTCAGATACTGAGCACATATGTAAGATACCTTCTAGTTTATTCAAATGAATATTAATTATTAGTTGCCGGAAAGAGGAATGATAAATTTGAAAAGAGGATTTAAACTCTGAAGGGTTTGATTATTAGTTTGTTGGTTTTCGGATCAGGTTTAAGTAAGATTCTTGACATTTAAATAAAATAGCCGTATTTGCTGCTATCACATGGAACAATAGCTCTAATGATATTCTAAGATCTTTAGCAGTCACTGGCGTCGTCACAGTCTTTGCTTCAATCATAGGGCTGATAGGTTGTAACAGGTAAATATCAGATTTGAATTTAGAAATTCTAGATGTTTGAAGCACTTTGAGGTTGTTAAGATTAACAAGATGAAACAAAGTCCAGGCTAGGAAGCACTCCTTATCTTCTTTTATTTCAATTTCTTGCTATTTTGTGCCTATTTGCTGTTTGGAACTTGGTGCTTCTTTTACTAAGATGATGCAACAGCTTGGCTTGAGGCAAGATACTCAAATCATTAAAGCTGGGAAAGAGACTTTAAAGGTATTAAGCTGCATACTGTACAGGAAAACCTAAAACTCATATTGACTATTGCTGGTGCTTTCTCACTACTCGTTTCAATTATAAACTTTGCTTGTATTCACTATGCTATAAAGATATCTTTATTTTTTGAAACTATTCATACTGTAGTTCAGGTATAAAATCTTGTTATTGTTCTTGTATCATTCTTGATAATATATGCCGGTGCTATTGCAGAGAGTTACTATTCAGTTCCATACGTTGAAGAAACAGAGCCAGAATACTTACCTTAGGTTTTAATATTTACTGGAATTGCTATGATTCTAGTGGCTTACCTAGGATTCTTCGCTTCAAGAGCAGAGAGCAAAGTTGGGTTAATCTCATACACAGTATTCTGCGTGATACTTATGGTTAACTTCCTCATTTTTATTGTTCTACTAAACTTTGGATCATAAGTTTTGCAGCAATAGTTTGAGGAAAAATGTAATGAAGTAATGCCATTTTTCCACAAAAACTTCTACTCATCTTTTGGATGCATGGATAAATACAACTAAAATACAACTGAAGCTACTCGTTTAACTTGCCCTAAGAGCTAGATAGCCTCTATTTGGGAGTAAAATGTAGATGTAAATGTTGAAGATTAAAGTGAATTTTTCGGATGCCTCAACCAAAGCTGCTGCATTGCTATGATCAGCTTCGTAAAGGGTAAGTTCAACTTCCTTGCTGCTTTCTGTATCATCGCCTTTTTCTTCACAATGGTTGCTATTATGACCTCTCAATACATGTATAAGAAGGTCAAAAAGTACAATACCTAAATACTCTCTCACAGAAATGATAAATTCATTTTCATCTTTATGGTAGCCTTCACAGTTGGTCTTTCAGTTTTGCTATATTTAGGTATGCCGGAGAAGCCTCAAGGTATGCCTTAACCAGATAAAGAAGCATCAGAACTAAAGAAAGATGATCTTTGGAAATTCTATGATCTTCATATAGATAGAACTGTAGGATTAGGATAAATTAATGATGAAGGATGGTGGAATTTTGATAGAATTTCATTGTTCCAACAAGATTATAGTCCAACCTCCAATAATACATAAAATCAAGCCTATAATAATGAAGTCAAAGTATAAGTTTCAATACACAGTTTAACTAACAATGGTCAGTTCCACATTTAAGGTGAATATAGTAATGAGACTGCAATAATAGATAATAAGCAAGCTAGAGTAGTCCTAAATGGAAAAGTTAATGAAGTTAATCACACACTCACATTATTATAATTCAGACCAGGATGCATCACTAATTCAAGCAATGCCTTAGAACTAAATATCACTTTCTCGACAACTAAAAGAAACCTTCAAACAAATGAAAATATAATTGAGTTTGATGTTCCAAAAAGATACAGAATCAATCTTAATCTAAATAGTTCTTAATATAGAACTTACAGAGGGAAGTTAATCGAGGAAAATCTTGAATCAACTGGGCCATCAAACTATTTTAAGGAGATAAATAATGGAAATGATGTTAAATTGACTATTAGTTACCCTGATTTCAAAGAATGTCTACCATTTAATGTTCATGTAGACAATCATGGTGTCTTTGAGTTTAACATGACTATTCTCAACTAAAGTATTCCATATCTTATAAAAGTACAAGCTGAGAGAACTGTCTATCCTTCAATTACCTTTGATTATTTTGTCGGAGGATATCCAAGAGCTGATAGAGTTGAAATGGGTACCTATGCATTTTATATCTCAGACAATAAACCTCACAATGTTACTGGAAGATTATTTGAAGCATTCACTAATAAAACATTCTCAGATGACTATAGTCTTTCTATATATTAAGGCTATGGAGAGATTAACAGAACTCACACTGATGCCTACGAAGTTCTAGATCATTATGGAAATGGTGTTTACTACACAGGTTTGTTTGAAATTTATGACTTAAAGTCAGGATCATATGTTGCGGTTGTCGATACACCACAAGGATATATTAGAAATTTTTAGAGATTTTATGCTCTTCCTTCACCACCATTTTCTAAGTAAATGAGATCTATTCCAATGGTGTCTGAACTTTCAGAAGGTGAATTAGCACTAGTATTGACATGGGGATATTCACCTAAAGATCTCGATATTCACGTTGAGTTTGTAGGGTCTCCTACTGTATTGTGTAAATGCGATTACTCAGTTCATCAATGTGGAGGAGTTAAATACATGACAGACACAATTGAAGGTGGGGATAGAGGAGCAGATGTTATTAAGTTTGACTACATTGGAGATTTCTAATATCTTGTTTATGTTTCACTCTTCAAGCAAAGAAATAACACAGATAACAGACCAGGTCATTAAGATATACCATTATCTGAATCTCAGGCTCAGTTAAAAATTTTTGCTCCTTATTACTCATGGCCAGTTTACATTTTTGATTTGCCTGCTTAAGCCTCCACTCCGTCGGCTAACTATTGGGTTGCATTCTGTATTGATGGCAAAGATGGACTAAAAAATCTAAGACCAATTAATGTCTTAACACAGGGTGCTCCAGACGTATCTACTTGCCATGAAATCTATGGAACTCGTAAGAAATTTTAAAATTAATCATTTTTAGCTGAAATTCTAAGAGAGCCACTTCTTGATCAATAGAATAATAGCTTATAACCTTGAAATTTTCTATTCATTAATCCATTTACTTTGATTAAAGAAGTTAGGGGTTTTGGGGTTTTGGGG